GGGAAGCCTCCAAACTGCTCCAAATATCCCTGAAGAGCTCTCAACATCCCTGCACAGCTCTCCAACACCTCCCTAAAAGCCCCCAGGAGATCCCAGTGACACTCCAATATTCCTCAAGGCAGTTCCTGGGACAGCCCAGGACCCTCCAAAATGTCCCCAAACCTGTGAGTTCCCCAAGCAAAGGTCAGTGGGGAGGGGACAGCAGCACGGGGACACGGGATGTGGGGGCTGTCCCCAAAAGGTCTCTGTGAGGACACCAGTGTTGTACCTGTGTCCCCACAGAGGTCAGGGGCACAGCAGCCAAGCCATGCTCAGGCATGGGGACCCCGTGCTGGCTCAGGTCACCCCTACCAGCCCCACAGCCACATCCCCATGGCCCTCTGCCTGTGGTCCCACTCCTCTGGCACCTGTCCCCATGGCCCAAGCACAGGGTGCTTGTCCCCTTGTCCCTGTCCTGCATCCCTGTGGCCCTGTCCCCACAGCTGCCCCAGCTCCAAGGCACCTTCTGTCCCATCCTTGTCCCCACATCTCCATCCTCCTGTTCCTGTCCCCACATCCCAGTTCCCCTCCCTGTCCCCACTTCCTGTCCCCAAAGCCACCCCACAACTCTGCTGACACTGGACTCTATGCCCTGCTGGCCTTGGGGACCTCAGGGGACTCCGCAGCCCCCCTCTGTCCCCTCTCCTCCCCATGCCTGGGCTGTCAGGCTGGTGCCCGGGGCACTCACCCCACAGGAGCAGCGCCACCTTCCCGGCCATCCCGCTGTCCCCAGCCATGTGCACTGGCTGTCATTCGCTGCTCTGGCCACCGCTCCCCTGGCTGGCAGCTCTTCGGATGAAGGGGAAGGAAGCGAGGTCACGTCTTGTCCCCACACCTTGGTGGCCCGTGGTGGGGGCAGGGTGGCCACAGGCTGGGGACCGGATGGGGATGAGGATGGGTGGGACAAGGTGAGATTTGGGGTTCCCAGGAGTGGGGGGCTCAGGGGGTTTGGGGAGGCAGGGATGGGTGTCCAGGGGAATGGGGAGTGCCAGGGATGGGGTACCTGGCAATGGGGTCCTGAGGAGGGGGAGTCACCAGGGATGGGTTTGTCATGGGAATGGTGGTACCCAGGGCTGGGGGGATTCAGGGATGGGAGTGCCAG